TTCATTTAATATCAAATATTTAGGTATGAAACATAATTAAATATGAATAAAATATAAAAAATGGGGGAAAAATAAGAATGTTTTATTTTTTTTAGTTCTACGTGACATTCTAACTGTAAATGTCATAATACTGTTTACTTTTACTGCAATAAAATACACATATTTGTATTCATAGATGTCTCACGTGTAAAACAGTACCCCCTATGTACAGGTTTTATGGTGTTTTGGGAAGTTACAGGGTCAAATATAGCGTGTTACATTTTTCCGTTTTTTTCACATTGAAATTCGCCAGATTGGTTACGTTGCCTTTGAGACCGTATGGTAGCCCAGGAATAAGAATTACCCATGGCGGCATACCATTTGCAATAGTAGACAACCCAAGATATTTCAAATGGGGTATGTCCAGTCTTTTTTAGTAGCCACTTGGTCACAAACACTAGACAAAGTTAACGTTAATATTTGTTTGTGTGTGAAAAATGCAAAAAACTAATTTGAACGCCAATTTTGGCCAGTGTTTGTGACTAAGTGGCTACTAAAAAAGACTGGACATTTACAATACCTTGGGTTGTCTACTATTGCAAATGGTATGCCATCACGGGGTTAATTTTCATTTTTGGGCTACCGTACGGTCTCAAAGGCAACATTACCAACCTGGCGAATTTCAATGTGAAAAAACTGAAACAAAAGCCTTATATTTGACTCTGTAACTTTTGAAAACACCATAAAACCTGTACATGAGGGGTACTGTCATACTCGGGAGACTTCGCTGAACACAAGTATTAGTGTTTCAAAACAGTAAAATGTATCACAACAATTATATCATCCGTGTAAGTGCCATTAGTGTGTGAAAAATGCCAAAAATGTCACTTTCACTGACGATATCGTTGTTGTAATACATTTTACTGTTTTGAAACACTAATATTTGTGTTCAGCAAAGTCTGTCGACTAAAAAATTACACCCCATGTACAGGTTTTAGGGTGTCTTGGAAAGTTACAGGGTTAAATATAGTGCTAGCAAATTAAATTCCCTGGACTTTTGGCCTGGGTTGTCAGGCAAGTCCCGCAACTTGTAATTAATAAAATGACCTAATTATGTAAAATTATTACATAAATATATACGTCGAATTATTATATATATACACACATGTGTGTATATATATACTATAAGTATAATATATACATTTTTAAAATTATTTTTATTTATGTATAGGTATATATATAGTGATATATAAGTATATACTTATGTATATCGAGAGATATAGATATATATATTTCATTCTACATGTATTTTGATATCAATATATATATATATGTATATATATATATATATTAATTTTAAAATACAGTTAGAACGAATTTACACATATATATATTTTTATTTTATTTTTTAACGTATTTACATATTTATTTATTTTATATTATCTATAAATATATATATAATGAGAATTATATATATATATTCAATCAATATCATTGTACGTATATTTTGATATTAATTTTGATATTAATATGTATATTTATAATTATATATATTAATATTAAAATACACTTAGACAGTGTATGTGTATGTATGTATTTGTGTATATATATATATATATATATATATATATTGAACATATATGTAATAAATATATATATCTGATCTAAGTATATATTTTATTTTAAACTGTATCGTTAACTTTTATTTAATATTTTTCAGGCAGCAGGGGGAGTACCTGTCATAACAGGCACTCCCCCTGCTGGCATTGCTATGGATGGCTATGCCATCCATGTGATCGTGAGGTCCTCACAAGGACCTCGCGATCACATGGCCCAGGGGAGCCGGAGAGGAAGGAGGGGGACTCCCTGGGCTCCCAGGTGAGTTCCCACACCGCGACTCAGTGACCGGGTGAGTGCAAAGGACGGCTTGAGAATTCTATGCCGCCCGCCGGCGTTTAGACCCGGGTCCCCAAGGACGACATAGAACACCCACTATCCTTAACCCCTTAAGGACCAAACTTCTGGAATAAAATGGAATCATGACATGCCACACATGTCATGTGTCCTTAAGGGGTTAAGGGGTTAAATGGACACTATAGTCACCAAAACAACTTTAGCTTAATGAAGCAGTTTTGGTGTATAGACCATGCCCATGCAGTCTCAGTGTTAAATTCTCTGCCATCACTTTGTTTATGAACCCTAGAAACACCTTCCTGCATGTGACTTGCACAGCCTTCCTAAACACTTCTTGTAAAGAGTCATCTAAAATTTATCCTTCCTTTATTGCAAGTTCTGTTTAATTTAGATTTTCTTATCCCCTGCTATGTTAATAGCTTGATAGACCCTGCAAGATCCTCCTGCATGTGATTAAAGGTAAATTTACAGAGCAAGATATAAAATTGTTTAACCCCTTAAGGATTGGACTGTTTTTGCGATGTTGTACATTTGTGACCAGGCTTCTTTTTACACTTTTGTGGTGTTTGTGTTTAGCTGTAATTTTCCGCTCTCTCATTTACTATTCCTATACAAATTATATATTGTTTTTTCAGGACAAAAAGGACTTTCTTTACATACCATTATTTATATAATCTCATGTAATTTAATTTAAAAAAAATAAAAAATATGATGACAAATTTAAAAAATACATGTTTTTTGACTTTTACTTGAAAAATATTTTACTCATCTACAAAAGCGAATGAAAAAAACTGCTAAATAGATTAAAAATTTTGTCCTGAGTTTAAAAATACCCAGCATTTACATGCTTTTTTACTTTTTATTTGCAAGTTATAGGGCTATATGTACAAGTAGGATATTGCGGTTTCAAAACATACATTTTTAAAATGTATCAATAGTGACATTGTAACACTGTTATCTGTCATAAATCTCTGAATAACACCCCACATGTACATTTTTTTTTTTAAAGTAGACAGCCCAAGGTATTCAATATGGGGTATGTCCAGTCTTTTTTAGAAGCCACTTAGTCGCAAACACTGGCCAAAGTTAGCGTTCATATTTGTTTGTGTGTGAAAAAAAAAATTTACGCTAATTTTGGACAGTGTTTGTGACTAAGTGGCTACTAAAAAAGACTGGACATACCCCATTTGCAATACCTTGGGTTGTCTTCTTTTGCAAATGGCATGCCATCATGGGGGTAATTCTCATTCCTGAGCTACCATACGCTCTCAAAGGCAATGTAACCAGCCTGGCCATTTTCAATGTAAAAATATTTGACCCTGTAACTTTCAAAAACACTATAAAACCTGTACATGGGGGGTACTGTTATACTCGGGAGACTTTACTGAACACAAATATTATATCATTAGTAAAAGTGCTGTTTGTGTGTGAGAAATGCAAAAAAAGTCAATTTCACTGACAATATCATCGCTGTGATATGTTTTACTATTTTGAATCACTAATATTTCTGTTTGGCGAGGTCTCCTGAGTAAAACAGTACCCCCCATGTACAGGTTATAGGGTGTCATAGAAAGTTACAGGGTAAAATACAGTGCTAGCAAATTAAATTCTCTGGACTTTTGGCCTGGGTTGGCAGACAGGCCCCTTAAATTGCAATCAATAAAATTACTTAATTATGTAAAAATATTACATAAATACGCACGTAGAATTTAAATATATATGCATATTTATATATTTGAAGTCTACGTGTATATTTATATAATTATTTATGTAATTTTGTATATGGACATATGTATATTTCGTATTATTTTTATTTATTTATATATACATAGATATATATACAATTTCATTCTAAGTGTATTTTGATATAAAAAATATATATATATATTAATATCAAAATACAGTTAGAATAAAATCTCATACAGATATATAATTTAAAAAAAATTATTATTATTTTTACATGTTTTTGTTTAATTTAAATTACTTATTATTTGTATTTTATAATATATATATATATACAATATATATAGTTATTATATATATTATATATATATACACGTGTGTAATTTAATAGGTACATATTAATATAAAAATACACTTCGTATGACATTATATATATATATATATATATATATTTTTTTTTTTTTATTAACATTAACAGTTATTTTATTTTTTTACACTAGCAGGGAGACTGCCTGTCAGCACAGGCAGTCCCCCTGTAGGCAGACCCTAGGACACCTATTGTAAGGTAAATTACATCTGATTGAAAGTGAAACCAGTTTTTTGTTACATAGTTACATAGTTACATAGCTGAAAAGAGACTTGCGTCCATCAAGTTCAGCCTTCCTCACATATGTTTTTGCTGTTGATCCAAAAGAAGGCAAAAAACCCAGCCTGAAGCGCTTCCAATTTTGCAACAAACTAGGAAAAGATTCCTTCTTGACCCCAAAATAGCAGTCAGATGTCTTCTTGGATCAAACAACTATTACCCCACTAATTAGAAATTAGAAATTATATATAATATATTATATAAATTATATTATACATGTTATGTTTTTTGCAAGTATTTTTCCAAGTGCAGTTTAAACATCTGTATAGACTCTGACAAAACTACCTCTTCAGGCAAAGAATTCCATATCCTTATTGCTCTTACTGTAAAAAAACTTTTTCTTTGCCTTAGATGAAATCTCCTTTCTTCCAGCCTAAATTTGTGACCCTTTTGTCCTATGTGTAGCCCTGTTTATGAATAGATTTCCAGAAAATGGCACCAAATATATTTGTATAATGTTATCATATCCCCTCTCAGGCGCCGTTTTTCCAAACTAAACAGTTTTAAACGTTTTAACCTTTCTTCATAACTAAAATGCTCCATTCCTTTTATCAATTTTGTAGCTCGTCTCTGCACTTTTTCTAGTGCCATAATATCTTTCTTTAGAACAGGTGCCCAAAATTGCACAGCATATTCAAGGTGTGGTCTTACCAGCGATTTATAAAGAGGCAAAATTATATTTTCATCTCGAGAATTTATGCCCCTATTTAAACATGACAAAACCTTACTGGCCTTAGCAACGGCAGATTGGCATTGCATATTGCTGCCTAATTTGTTGTCTATAACAATTCCCAAATCCTTCTCGTGTGTGGTTATCCCTAGTTCACTACCATTTAGGGTGTAAATTGCTTGTGCATTCTTAACCCCCGAAGTGCATAACTTTGCATTTCTCTACATTAAATTTCATCTGCCATTTTAGTGCTCAGTCCCCCCAATCTATCCAAATCCCTCTGCAGCAAGGCAATATGCTGCTCACATTTTATTACTTTACAAAGTTTTGTGTCATCTGCAAACACTGATACATGGCTTTCAATGCCCATTTCAAAATCATTTATCAATATGTAAAACAGAACCCTGAGGGACACCACTCACCACTTTTGTCCAGCTTGAAAATTTACCATTAATGACAACTCGTTGTACTCTATCCTTAAGCCAATGTTCTACCCAAGAACAAGAATATTCATCTAGACCAATTTATTTTAGCTTGAAGACTAACCTATTGTGAGGAACTGTATCAAATGCCTTGGCAAAAGTAGATCACATCCACTGCAACACCCTGATCTATACTTCTACTTACTTCTTCGTAGAATGCAATTAGGTTAGTTTGACATGACCTATGTTTCCTAAAACCATGCTGATTATTGCTAATAACACAGTTCTTCCCAATTAATTCCTGAATATTATCCCTTAATAGCCGTTCAAATAATTTCCCAGTCACAGAAGTTAAGCTCACAGGTCTAATATTTCCAGGCAAGGATTTTGAACCCTTTTTAAATATAGGAACAACAACTGCCTTCCTCCAATCCTCCGGTACAATACCTGAAACAAAAGAATCTTGAAAAATTAAAAACAAAGGTTCACTTATTTCCCCACTTAGCTCCTTAAGTACTCGTGGGTGGATACTGTCAGGCCCCGGAGCTTTATTTACATTAATTTTCTTTAATAGCTGTAGCACCTTGTCTCGAGTTATCCAATAACAAGTTATCTGCAAGTTTGTTGCAGCAATCATTTGCGTATCTCTTGCCATAGGATCCTCATTAATATATACTGAAGAAAAATAGTTAATTAAAATTTCTGCCTTTTCATGGTCTTCATTAACTAACCCATCTCTGTTTTCAGTGTACCTACACTTTCATTTTTTGTTTTTTTAGAGTTGATGTACTTGAAAATATGTTGGGCTTGGTTTTGCATTCTTTGGCTATCAATTTCTCATTTTCTAGTTTAGCCACTTTAATTGCCTTTTTGCAAGTATTATTGGCTTCCTTATATCTTATATAGGATGCCTCTGATTTGTCCGATTTAAATGCTTTAAATGCCCTTTTCTTATTTTTAATCTCTTGTTCTCTACTAAGCCACATTGGTTTTAATTTGTTTCTTTTATATTTATTACCCAATGGTACATACTGTGAAATCTACCTTACTAATATTTGTTTGAATAGTTTCCATTTTTCCTCAGCGTTTTTATCACTAAGGAGTTTATGCCAGTCGATATGTTGTAGAGCTGATTGGCTTTTTTAAAATTATACGTTTTAATATACCCCACGTGCTTTTGCTTTTGTGAGTTTATTTAAAAAGTTACCATATTGTGATCACTATTTCCCAAATGCTCCCCTCCTTGAATGTTGGTTAAAAGATCAACATTGTTTGTTATAACGAGATCCAGACAAGCATCCTTTCTAGTTGGTGCTTGTACCAGTTGTGACATAAAGGTGTAATTTAGCACATTCAAAAACCAGATTCCTCTTGCTGAAGTACTAGTCCCTCTATCCCAATTTATGTCTGGGTAATTAAAATCTCCAATAATTAAAGTTTTACCCCAATTTGCAGCTTTCCCAATTTGCTCTAACAGCAGTTCTTCCTCATTAATATTTACATTTGATGGTTTATAACATATCCCAACCAATAATTTAATTCCCTTTGTTTACCCGAAGCAGATATCTACCCATAAAGCTTCTACATTTTCCTCATCACACTCCACATGCCTAATATTTGACTTTAACTCATGGCTGACATACAAACATACCCCACCACCCTTCTTGTTTTTCCTATCCTTCCTAAATAACATGTACCCATTTAAGTTAACTGCACAGTCATGTGTCTCATGCCACCATGTTTCTGTTATGCCTATTATATCATATTGTTTAGTGTATGCTATTGCCTCTAGTTCCCCCATTTTGTTATATAGGCTCCTTGCATTAGTAAGCATATATTTAATGTTACCATGAGTCATTTGTACATTATCAATATTACATACCTCCTCTGTTCTGAACTTTCCCCTCCCCCCATCTCCACCCCCTTTGTTCTGAGCTAAAGCCCATCTCCTTTCTATCCTATCTCCATTTTCTAGATTGCTTTGACCCTCCCCCCTACTACTAGTTTAAAATCTTCTAGCCATCCTATCCCCCAGCACAGCAGAACCTCTTCTGTTTAGGTGCAATCCATCACGACTATACAGGTTGTACCCAAGTGCAAAATCGTCCCAGTGCTCTAAAAACCCAAAACCCTCTTTCCTGCACCAAGACTTCAGCCACGCATTGACCTCTCTAATCTCCCACTGCCTTTCTGCTGTAGCGTGCGGCACAGGTAATATTTCTGAAAATATTACCTTGGAGGCCCTTTTCTTTAGCTTACTTCCTAGATCCCTGAACTCACTCTTTAGGACCTTCCATTTTCCTCTGACTTTGTCATTGGTACCAATATGGACCATGACAGCTGGGTCATCCCCAGCCCCTCCCAATAATCCCTCCACTCTGTCGGCAACATACCGGACCCGAGATCCCGGGAGACAGCAAACTGTCCAGTTGAATCGATCAGAGTGGCAGATTACCCTATCTACTCTCTTAATAATAGAATCCCCTACCACCATAACCTGTCTAGACTTCCTTACCCTCTCAACCCCACCCGTACTAGAGGGGCTGTTCCCACGGCTGTTAGAAGGAACAGCTTCCTGCAGTACAGGCTGGCTGTGTCAGTCAGAGCCAGGGGAGGTGTGGCAATGGCTGCATAAACAGAAACAAAGTGATTTAACTCCTAAATGGCAGTGAATTTAGCAGTGAAACCTGAGAAGCATGATCTATACACTAAAACAGCTTCATTAAGCTAAAGTTGTTTAGGTGACTATAGCGTTCCCTTAATCACAATAAATATATTGTTTTGCCGAAAATGCATTTAGTACAAGTAAAAATATCTGCTGATTTTGACAGCAAAGCTTTTTTAGACAATTATGCAGTATAATATATATTTTTTTGCAAAGAAACATTTCTACTGTTGGTAAAATCTCTTTTTCTCAACACTCAAAACATGTTCTTTTGCTTTTTGTACAATCCTGTTATCAGCAGATACAGTTGTGCTCAAATGTTTGCATACCCTAGCAGAAATTGTGAAATGTGGACATTTATTTTGAAAATATGACTGATTGTGCAAAAAAAAATCTTTTATTGAAGGATAGTGATCAAGCCATTTATTATCACATAGTTGTTTTGCTCCTTTTTAAATCATAATGATAACAGAAATTACCCAAATGGCCTTCATCAAAAGTTTATATAGCTTTAAATGTTTGGCCTTGTTATAGACACACAAGGTGACAAACACAGGTTAAAATGGCAATTAAAGGTTAGTTTCCCACAAAGATGGTGTGGTTGTTTCAATGAGCACAATACAACGATGCTTGAACAAAAATGCCTTGCATAGTCGAGTTGCCAGAAAGAAGCCTTTACTGCGACAATACCTCAAAAAAGCCTGGTTACAATTTCCTGACAACACCTTCACATGCTTCACAGTTTCTGGCACACTGTAATTTGCAGTGATGAGACCAAAATACCACAACCATAACCGCTATGTTTGGAGAGGGGTTAACAAGGCCTATAGTGAAAAGAATACCATCCCTATTGTGAAGCATGGTGGTGGCTCACTGATGTTTGGGGAATCTTGTGAAAATTGATGAATGTAGCATGTTATCAGAAAATACTGGCAGACAACATGGATTCTTCTACAAGAAGGCTGCGCATGGGATGCTCTTGGACTTTCCAGCATGACAATGACGCAAAGCACAAGGCCAAGTTGACCCTTCAGTGGTTACAGCAGAAAAAGGTGAAGGTTCTGGAGTGGCCATTACAGTCTTCTGACCTTAATATCATCAAGCCTCTCTGGGGAGATCTCAAACGTGTGGTTCATGTAAGGCTTTGCATGATCTGGAGGCATTTTGCCAAGACGAATGGGCAGCTATACCACCTGCAAGAATTAGGGGCCTCATAGACAACTATTACAAAAGACTGCATGCTGTCATTTATGCTAAAGGGTGTGATACACAGTATTAAGGAGTAGAGATGTCACGAACTGTCCGCCGAACTGTTCGCGAACTGTCCGCCAGCGAACAATAGCGTGTTCGCGTTGGGCGAACATATCCGATTTCCGGTCCGCCCCCTATACGTCATCATTGAGTAAACTTTGACCCGGAACCTCACAGCCAGCAGACACATTCCACCCAAGCAGCAGCAGACCCTCCCTCCCAGGAAGTGTCTGCTGACTGTGAGGTTCCGGGTCAAAGTTTACTCAATGATGACGTATAGGGGGCGGACTGGAAATCGGATATGTTCGCCCAACGCAAACACGCTATTGTTCGCCAGCGGACAGTTCGCGAACAGTTCGGCGGACAGTTCACGACATCTCTATTAAGGAGTAAGGGTATGCAGACTTTTGAACAGGGGTCATTTCATCTTTTTCTTTGTTGCCATGTTTTGCTTTATGATTGTGCCATTCTGATATAACCTACAGTTGAATATGAATCCCATAAGAAATAAAAATAAATGTATTTTGCCTGCTCACGCATGTTTTCTTTAAAAATGCTACATATATTACCAATTCTGCAAGAGTATGCAAACTTTTGAGCACAACTGTATTTGTAATAAATTACTGTATCACACTTAAGAAAAAATAAAAAAAATAACGACTGCCTGTAGTATCCCTGATAATATCAGAGGGCCCCCTCTGGTCATATCAATTCACTATATTTTGATTTTATTTAACCAGAGATGCCATAGAATAAAACATAAGGGGGTTAAAAAGCACAAAACAAATAGGGTTGTTGTTAACATGGTGTATTACAATATTTTATGCATATATTTATGCTTTATAATGTCCTATTTTTCATGTTTATTTTTAATACACTGCATGGGGAAATATTTTCCCTTCTTCCCTTTTTATTGCTACCATTAGTACCATTTTCCTTAGTTATTGTCTCTGTGTAAAATTTGTTTTGAAAAATATGTAATACAAATAATTTGAAAAGAAAAAAAGAAGGGTGCTAAATTATTTTGTATAGATT